TGTCAGCAGATAAACAAACTTTTTTTTTTCTTGGACGCAGCTATCCCATGTTCCAGAGTTTATTCTTCATATTTAAAATATATCCCCAGTCCTTATAACTATAAAACCTCCTTCAGTACATGATTCAGATGTGAACAGCTGCAATGATGTCTGCCTGAGTTTGTAGAATGCCTGAAACCTCAGATTTGATAGAAGTTAGGTGAATAGGGAGCATTTATGGCTGTATTAACCATTTCACTTTTGGGAAAACACCACACAAAAGATGACTTGTCAAACGACAAAGGTCTGCAGAGCCAATTGCAAATGTTTTCTTGTTTTGCCATTAAATTATGCAAAAAGTGGGATAGTACCAGTACTACTCCCAGTTGAATATATGTAGTTTTTTGAAAATCTATAAGCTGAGTGTTTAATTTAAAAAAAATTGAAGTTTTATTTGTTTTAACATATTTGAGTAGCTTAAGACAATTAATCGGGTTTTGTTTTATTTTTTATTTCTAGGGTCACCGTAACTGCCATGTGCAACATGGATTTCAGTCGCTTCCCCCTGGATACACAAACTTGTTCACTAGAAATTGAAAGCTGTAAGTAAACAGGATGTATATGTAGGCACCCTTATTTGAAAATCTTAGCATAAGATTACTTTAGACATGTAAATATGTTGGCTGCTTCCCAAAGGTGCTGGGGATCTGCATCTTTCAACAAATTAAATAAAAAGTAAAAACTTTCTGTCTCTACTCTCTTTCAGTTAAAATAATCGTATATGGTCTTTATTTGAAGCCTTTTATTACTAGACAAGTATGTTTTTTAAATCAGTGTCTCCACCAAAAATTAACCCTCTCCTCATATCCCTGTTCACCCTTCACCCAAAATCATTTGAGAGCTGTCATTTGAATACCAAATTTTTAACATTAAAAGGTAATCTCATATATTCCTACTACAGCTCAATCCTAACTAGTAGTAGAATACTGACTAGTATTATTCATGTGTCTTGTTTTTTATGTGGAGTACTTAATATGCATGTGATGAAAAAGCAACATCATCATTTCACTTCTTACATGTCATATTCACACTCATCTATGTCTAAGCTATATCTAGCCCCGATGGAGCTTCTTTTTCTATGACCTAAATTTGAATTTTCTGGCTGTCAGACTTAGGCATCTTTAAACTATGCTCGATTAAAGGTTTTTGGCCTCAAGTTGTTAACAAGTATTTGTAACCTTAAGTCCACTTTAACATGGTTATTTTTGTTAGGAATAACTAACATTGGTCTAAACCATACATTAGATAATTAAATACATTCAATATAAAACTAATACAACAAAAGGAAAGAGGCAGTTACTCTGCACATTTACCTTGACTTTCAGCAAGATATACAATTAAGACATCTTGAAATCAAACCCTAACCAGAACTGTTCTTTATCTCATTACATCCATCACCATATATGACCATTACTAATGCTGGACCAACATGGCAGGAAGTCTCTGGTTTACAACAACATTTTTGAACCTATCTTTGACACATGCCAACTGTAAATATGTTAATGTTTGATTTAATTGCACTGCAAAGATGTGTCCTGCTTTCCCAGATGCCTACACTGAAGATGATCTCATGCTGTACTGGAAGACTGGGAATGACTCTTTAAAAACAGATGACAGGATATCACTATCGCAGTTCCTTATACAGGAGTTCCACACCACCACAAAGCTTGCCTTTTATAGTAGTACAGGTAGGTGAATTTTGCTAGTATTGAACAATCATGCTAGGTTTTGCCTTTCCCCTTCAGATGAGATTCAACTCTGTCACTGTCTGAATAAATGTTCTTGAGTGTGACTCCTTCTGGGCCTGTACAAAACTGCCCTTTAATTGGTCAGAGAGGTCTCTGTCAAATGGTGCAAGGCATTCCCTTCCCCCACAGGTTGAAAAATGGGCAAAGATCATGTCAAATCACCACCTTTGATCTGTTTACCATATTACCCCTTCTGTGCTGTACAACATCTGTTTATGTTGCAACATCAATAATAATTTCTGTATAGGAATCTGCTGCATTCATACTGGACCACATGATAGCTGGCGATACTTTTGATTAAAATATGGGAAAACTTAAGGATGCAAAGCTAACTGGCAATTTAATATGTATAGCCACATAATTATTATGCCCACAAAAATAGGGGCCTGGTTCTACAAAACTCCTCTCCATGGAGCTACCTTTAACCTTAGCAAAAATTGACAGTCACAGGAGTTACACAGACTATTTTCCAAATTTGGATGGTCAGGCTTTGCCTACATGGTGAGTTATTTCTGACTCTTGGGAGTACCTTATTCTGTATTTGCTTAATCCCGTTTGGATCAATTTCAGTTTGAGCGCATCATTCTGGCAGTGTGATGCTACATATACATGATGCTACATCGCCATAGCAACGCACTACAGTGACGTAGTGTCAGCAGGCAAAAACCATGATGCTGCAGCTACATCACCATGGTGACATGCTCCCTTTGTATAGTGCATTGCTATGGCGATGTAGAGGCTAAAAATAACTGTGCGCCATGCAGATGGCACAGTACAGGCTGTTACTGCGCCATTATTTAGTAGTTCCAAAAGGAAGTACTTGGTCCAAAAGGAAGTACTAAGTGATGGTGCAGCAACAACAATGCCACAGTGGCCTGTGTAGATGCGCCCTCTTATTCTGAAATAAGAGTACTACAAAGATGTGATCAGGAAGAGCTATGCTACTTTAAACTGGCACTCTACCTCCATCTGAATTAATGCCCAGGTATTTGCTCTAAAGCAGAGGCTCCCAAAGTTTCACTTCTGAAGGGCCAGTTCAAAAGGGTGGTGGGCTACAAATGGGCTCACAGGCCATACTTGTGGAACCCCTGGTCTAACAAGTTCAATCCTGTGAGGTGCCAAAACTTCAAGAAAGTTTGATAAAGATCTACTTTGTTCTGAAAGACAGAAAAAGCTGTGTGATCACTGAAAAATTGCAGTACCATTAGATTGTGATGATCTTAGTGCCACTTCTTTCCTCCACCCCTTTCTGTTATACAGGGTGGTACAATCGCCTGTATATCAACTTCACTTTACGTCGCCACATCTTCTTCTTCTTACTCCAAACCTACTTCCCTGCCACTCTGATGGTCATGCTGTCCTGGGTGTCTTTCTGGATCGATCGCAGAGCAGTACCTGCCAGAGTCCCTTTAGGTAAATAAAAATATTGAAATAGAAAACCCAACTAAGAACTACATGCTAAAAGGGACCATTTAATCTAAACTAACTCATCAGGATTAACATCACCCCTGTGCTACTATACAACTTGAAATTCGGTTACTGGTCACATACAAAAATGGCCTGGGCTGCCTCCACCTGTTCCACATTATCCTAGCATATTAGTAGGTACCCTAAATACCAAGACACACTGGAAAAACAAATATGAAAGAAAGAGCATTTCCAACTACAGATACCAATAAACCTTACAATTCTAGTGTACTAAAAGGTAAAAAAATGATAGTGACGATCTTCTGTTTAAACATGTAAATGTATTTCCTTTGCTACAAGATGTCTTGTATTATTGGAAATAAACCTGATATTTTGAAAGCAGTGCAAAGGAACTGTCTCCTAGTTTTGCAATGAACTTCATGAAGATGGATCCAGAGGCTTCCATCAAGATCTACTGAAATCAGTGGGGTTTGTTCCAGGATTGTGACCTTGGACAAAAACTTTCCTTTAAAAGTAATGCCTTGAAATTCTCATCCTTATTGAATAATTGTTAACATTTCCCACAGACTGAGAACCCAAGCTTGCTTCCACTGACTTAAGCAAACCAGGACCAGGGCTTTATTTACTTCAAATTAACTTTCCTTACAGAAAATATATGCTAGGCATACAGTAGATATGAATGAATGTTTTCTCATATTTTTGTTGGGAAACAGTTGACATTTATACTAAGGCGTTGCTATCAGATGTCTTGAGACCTGGTTTAAAGTTATAATAATGGAAAATAGAAACTAGACCCAAAGCAACAAAGGAATTAGTCATTTAATTCCTACCAGGTTCAGTAGTAGTTATGGACATCTTTACACATGCTCTGGGGGTGGAAGGAGGGGGGAACTTTAATTAGAGTGGCTCCAAGTGTTCTAACTAAAGTGCCCACAATGTCTCATGGATTCAGCATCCCACGTTTCAAAATGGTGATGGGGCCACTTTAACTAAAGCTTGTTGAACGAGCTTTAGATAAAGCACCCTCGTCACCATTTTGAACCATGGGACATTGAATACATGAGATGCAGAGGCTGCTGGAGTGCGCTAATTCCAGCAGACTATTAACTGAGTCTTCTCTGATACGCTGTAATTACAGCACGTCATAAAGGAGCAGCATCCCCACACATCTACAGACACCCTAAATGCCTAAATACCTTTAGGGAGAGATATATATGATTATCCTGATTTTGTAGATAGGGAAAGTATAGTCTGGGCAACCTAACTACAGCCATATTCTCATAGCTTGGCATGCTGAGCAGCACCTTTTTCAATGAAAAGGCCTGCTGGAATCAATGGGATCACTCCCAAAGCAAGGTACTGTTCACCATGATGTAGGTATCAGAATCCGGCCTTTGATCTCTCTGCCTCAAAAGGAAGCTCACCTCTGGCACATTCTTGGGAAGCTGCCAAACTAGGCATGGGTTGGTTGTCTTCCAGGACACATTCTTGAAGGATTCAGTTTTCTCACAGCCGTAAGGTCCCAAATAATGGACTCCTTCCTCTGTCAGCATCAGAGAACTATAGATTTCAAATCATATCCCCAAAATTGTGACTCATACTATCCTTTTACTAGTCCTTCAGTCACAACCCTGGCTTTATCCTCTTGTGAGCTTTCAACAGGCAAGGACAACAATGGTCAACATTTTCTGGTGACTGGCCAGAAAAACCAAGCTCATCGGTGAGCCAACACTAAGACCTGGCGATTACTGCTGGCTCTCCCTACCACCTACACATGGTGAAAGCAAAACCCCCTCCCCACACTGCAAAATACCAGAGGCCCTCTACCTTCATGGGCTGGGCCCAATTGCTCCATGGGTTGTAGGTTGCCAACTCCATGGGTTGTAGGTTGCCAACTCTTGAAAGATGGTCTCCTACCTCCTCTCTGCAAATGTAATAGAAGCACAGTAAACCATGTTCAGTGTTAGTTTCAAACACTGAACCCAATTATATGAACAGATCTGTATCTGCCAAAGAGTAGGCAGATGGCAAGAAAACAGGCTGGCAAGAACTAGGGAAGATGAGTGGTGTGCCCTTATTGCTTAGTTTGTGGCCACGCTTCATGTTAGAAACTTAATTAGTCATAGCATCTAGGCTTTAGCGCTTAACCTCTAATGAATCATCTAGCTCAAATTTAGAACACTACCACAATACCTGCACTGGTATATTTATGTGGACAGAAGTCAGGTATGAAACAACACTCAAATAAGGATCCAAGTTAACTGTGCAGTAAAGACAAGTCCTTCCTAGTAAAGCCAGGTTAGAAATCAGGGAGTACTGGATCCCACCCAGACAACTAAGGCATACTTTAACCAGGGGGGACAACATACATTTGAAGGATATCCAAGAACTTTAGATATAGAGTCTAATGTGACTATTTCTAACTGGATGATGTTGTGTTCCTAGGGATAACAACGGTGCTGACCATGTCCACCATCATCACCGGTGTGAATGCCTCAATGCCTCGCGTATCTTACATCAAAGCAGTGGACATTTACCTTTGGGTCAGTTTTGTGTTCGTCTTCTTATCAGTGCTGGAATATGCAGCAGTGAACTACCTTACTACAGTGCAAGAGCGGAAGGAGAGGAAGCTGCGAGACAAGGTGAGATAACTGTCTCTAGTATCGTTTTATGCAATAGAAAAATAAAGAGTTTGAAATTGTGCATTTGCAGTGAAATTCTAAGCTTCCTTGGAAGAACAGAGGAAGTGCAAAAAAGCAGATGTTAATAAAATATGCCTCGTTGGTTTGAAGGCTAGCTACTGTCACCTGGCCCTTAATCTTACTGAACTAGACTTACAAAGAATATTTCTTAGGGGGTGGGGGGAAATCCAGAACAAAACTGAGTTTTAAGCTAGCAACACTTCTCCTGAAACAGAAGTCCCAGGTCCTGCACAGCTCCAAGCAGAGAACACCTGACATCTGGGCCACAGAGCCTGAGAGCTATCTATGCCTTTCTTAGTCTCATAGAACTTTGCATGCTGTTTCAGCACAGACCATATTTTGCAATTTGTTACTAAATAGACTAAAAAAATGGGATTTTAGTTTTCATGCTTTTATATGAAAGATGGCAAAGCTGAAGTACAGCTTAACAAATCACATCTGATGCAGACCAAGAACCATCCAGGAAATAAATTGCCTTTCTTCACCCCTCTGCAGCTGGCTCCTCTTCTAGTTTTTGTCACTGCATTTACACCTAGTAAAGGAAGAGAAGCTGCTGCCCTCCCTTTACTTCTGCTGCTCTTCTCCTTTGTTTTCCATGGGTTGTGCCACATTGCTGATGGGAGGCAGAGATAAATTATCTGGTTCAGATACCCAATACAAAATATCTAGGACAACATTCAAACTTGAATGTTCTCTCTTTTACAGCTTCCTTGTACCTGTGGAGTACCTCAACCACGACCTATGATGATTGATGGAAATTTCAGTGATGGGGACGTGAATGAACTGGGGCACTATGTATCCGAGAATGGTGATAAGCAAGACCGAATGATGCTTCAGCTTTCACTTGGTTCTGAAAGGAGTTCAAACAGGAGGAAAAGTCCAAGATACGTCAGCATGAGGATTGACACCCATGCCATTGACAAATATTCCAGGATAATATTCCCGGGTGCATATATTTTATTTAATTTGATATACTGGTCCATTTTTTCATAAGCATTAGTTATTTCTGTAGTCAATTTCCACACAGTGCTTTGTGTTTGAAATCAGTCTCTCTCATGCTAATAGAAAGAAAATGGAGAAAAAAAATTAATTTGAACACTGTTTAATTAATCCTGTTCTTGATATTTTTATTATATAACTTGCATTTGTGTTGCAAACCGCAATGTGCACACTTCAGGTTTGAGCTAAAAGTTAGAATTCATTGCATATATTTTTATACTTCAGGCTGTACCATGTTCCGTCTTGTGCCTCATGGGCCACTGTAAATCTTTTTAATAGGGGAAGAATTGTCAACTACCCATGTGTGGGAAACCTTCATTTTGTATCTTAGAAACCTTTCCTAAAATCCTGCTCCAGCAAATACTTAAGCATGTGGATTAATTCTTGTGTTAAATAGCCCAGTTGAGTTCAATGGCATTATTCATGTCAGGAACATTATAGAAATACGAGGGCTGCACAAAGCTTTGTTCACTGATTCAATTTGGCAGAGATTTGGCCTGAATCTCCAAATCTGAATCGAATCAGGAGACCCTTTAATTTCCCTGAATCGAATTGGGGAGATTCGATGATTCAGGCATAGACACAACTTTAAATGTTTTTTCTACATACCTCAAGGTATCAGGCACCTCGTGAACGCTGAGATGGTAGGGTGGATGGAGCGTCTGACAGGAGCATGGGAGTGTCCCCAGCACCCTTGGCAGCAGACTTGGAAATGGACCAGAAGCACTTCCAGTCCACTTCCGGGACTGCCACCGGGACAGTCCACTTCTGGGTCTGCCACCGAGCACGCGGGGGACTGCCTTGTGCTCTTGCGTGACGCTCCATCCGTCCTAGCATTGCAGTGTTCACGAGCCGCACCTGGTACCTTGAGGTATGTAGAAAAAACTTTTAAAGCTGTGTCTATGGCCGAATCACTGATTCTCCAAATCAGCATTGAAACTTCAGATTCAGATTCAGCCAAACCGAATCAGGACAGTGATCCAAATCAATTAATCGAATCACTGTCCCCTGAATCAAACTGAATCCGAATCCAAATCGAATGTGGCCCGCTTCACACACCCCTAATAAATACTTAACTAGCAGGACAAAGACATAGGTGGCATAGCAAGCACCAAATGTTCAATGCCAAAAGATGATTATGGCAAGTTTTACTGAAGCTTATGGCTCGCTTTCCCCTATTTAACACATTCTTCTGCTAGGAGAGTGGTGGAGTAACTGACTGATCCAAATCATGATGTCTTACAGAGCACATGTGCTCCACCCTGTGCATTCCTAAAAAGAAATGAAACTATCAAGCTTGTGTGATAATCCAGTGTTAAGTACAACCTGAAGTGTAAATTGATACAAATATACCTAATAGAATTTTTATTTTCTTCAACAGTAATAAAATTCTCCAAAAATGCATGGGAGATTTCTTAGGACTTGCCTCTGCAAGTCAATGGGAGTTGTGCTGGTGAATTAATTAGAGAAAAACAGAACTATTCAAGAGAAACTAAACAAATTACCATTTTAAAGAGAAACAGGTTAAATGAGCACATCCTTATTTAGTTAAGACATTACAGTTATAGTCAGCATGTTCAGGCAGGAAAAGTAAAAACTGTAAAACAACATAGATAAAGATATTAGTTTGATGCTGAAGTTTTAACCTTCCTCCAGTCAAATCAGTGGATCTTAAAAAAGAGTAGCGGCAGGTATCTTACAGTCAGTCATCATGTATTACCCACAAACATGTAGGTAGATGAATGTGGATGGATAATAGGACTTGAAAAATTAACTGTAAAGAAATTGTATATATGTACAGGAAAAAAATTGCTGCACGTGCTGCTAAATGTTTTAATCTTTTCTACTGGTAGCCCCCCATCATGGTCATGCTATAGAAATTACACCTCTTTAAGGTGAATGGACCTCTTGCATAAAATATGATTTGGAATGGCTGGTTCTGCTGTTTTATGGTTGTGTTAGCCAGGCAGACATAGAAGACATCTGAACAATGTCAATACTTTTTTCCCCTCAATATATAAAAACCATTATTATAAAATACTCAAAATTTTAAACTGCTACAATCATGAACTGATAGGAAGATAAAATGGGGCACTGCTTACCAAAGCATCCAAATGTTAATAAAAACATGTATATTTCTAAAATAACTAATAGAAACCTACAGCCATCAGATGATTGTTGGACTGCAGAAACATGCATCAGGGAGTATAAATCTATTATATGCTGTCTTGACTATCTTACTAACTCTTCTCTTATTTTGCCTTTCTTGAGCTTTCCCATTTCACATTTTTTCTTATAAATAGAGTTTGTAGTGAACAAAGGTAAAAACATTGCTTTGATAGGGCAGTTGAAAAGCTAAGGACCAGATTCTGCATCCTTTACTCACAGTCAATAATATCTTGCTCCACAAATAATCCTATGATTTCAAGAGAACTACTAATCCAGTAAAGTTTGGCCCTGAACATTATAAAGGACAATTGGTTTCCATTATTACAATGGAATACTAAATGCTGAAGTTCTTTTTAAGTGGGATTGTAAAACCTTGCAGGAAATTACATCTAAATATATAGCCTATAACTATTCTCCTCAATGCACCATTCCTTTCAGTGGGTTTAAAGACTCAGTAATCTGGCATTATACACTTCACTGACCTTTGACCAAATGGTATTAAAGGAGATTTTCAAAACTGTAAATGGGAGTTGGGCTTTCTACTTCCAGTGACTTTCAGTGGGAGACAGGTGCCTAACAGTCCTTTGTGCTCCTCAAAGTTTCCCTCATTATGTCTCTTTCCAAGATTTTTAATCTGTGTACTGGAATTTCCATCATTACTTATATTTTTATGGTTTTGCTTCCATGTTCTAGTGCCTTTTTGGTTTGTATTATAAATATATTTCTTCCATGAGAACGGAAGGTGTTAGATAAAGGCAATAGTTGACTTCAAAGTTTGTAAGTCATTACATAAACACACAAAAAGCACTTTGGGGTTTAAAATTTTCAATGTACATTTTACATAAGATTATTAACGTTCCATTCCTTTTCATTTCTGTAATACACTTAAGTTATTTATGGTTTTATTTCTAGCAAAACAACTCATAATAAATCTTTACATTTGTATTGTGGGGTGTGTTTTTCCCCCCAGTTCTAGAATAGTATTTCCAGACATTTATAAAATGTGCATAGCAGCTTTTCTGCTCAAAGATTTATGTAGAATGTCCCTAAATGCTAGTGACACTAAATGCTATGGGAACACTTAAGACTTCACAGCCAGGACTGTAGCAAGAAGCCTATATTCAAATTAATACTGGTATATCACTTTTCTTATTAAAACTTTCACTCTACACTATTTAAGCAGTGGGGGCCTTAGGGTTGTTGAGGCTCTGGGCAAGAGAGTCATTTGGGGCCCCTTAAAGGTATGTACTCAGGTAAATATTATCCCACCACAGTTGTTTCGTGGATTTTTTAAATATTATTTGGGGGGATTAGATAAATAGAGTGGTAAAATGCAAATAAAGCCACTTCCTTGCAAAAACTTCACCCCCCAAAAATATTTGGGCCCCCCTAAAGTATGGAGCCCCAGGCAGTCACCTGGTTTTCCCTCCCCTGAGAACTGGAAGAACGCTTTACAATATAATTCATTCCAGCTTCCTACAGCTCGACCAGATGCCCAATACAGCAAGTGCTGAGCATCTTCTCGTTCACTAATTTTAATTAAAGTCCTGTCCCCACCCCTCCAATAGGCTGCAAACATAATCAGTGGCTGACACACCATACTGACTAGTGCAGACTGTGGACCTAGCAAAAGCCTGAATTATGAATAATATCTGCTTAAGCTAGTATATAATCAATAAGATTGCAGTTAAATCATAAGCAGTAGCCTGGGAAAGTAGAGTAAGAATTTATCAAGTCCTGCCATTGATATATTGCCAAGAATGAATAACTTCTTTCTGGAAAGCTGTGTAACAGCAACTAGAAGTAGCAATTGATGTTTTGCCTTGTGATAACGACTGAATTGTATGGCTTTAGCTAGAACCCTTTTACAATTACAGTGTGATTTTTGTTAGCCTGTTGCACTTTATAATTGGTCTATTTGGCAAAGTAAAAGGAACCATATATAGCAAGTAGCATTCCCAGGTGGCCAGGGAGAGAGATGAGGAGTCCTCCTCCCTCCCAAAGTTTTATTTTTCCCAGGGACACAAGCCCCAGCTAACAGACATTTTCCAAGTCCATGGGGAGACTGGTTCAAACCAGTTCCCAAAGTTGCAGTGAAACAAGGGAATTTGAACAACACCAGTCACAATATTTATTTAAATAACTCACAAATATTGGGTGTAAACCAGGAAACTTCAAGAAGACCTCTGCAAATTCAAGACAACCAGCTCCCAGCCTGCCTGCCAGCTTCCTCCTGTGTCTCCCTAGGTGGTATAGATGAGAATCTGTATTGTGCAGCTGCAGGCAGCTAAACTGGCATAGAGACAAATGCTTATTCTTCTGCTTTGGGGAGTAATCAGTAAAAGGCTGGGTTATAGCCTTGTGTCTTGCCTCTTTTTCTGACTTTGGTGGTAGTAGTAATGCTTTGCTTCAGTGGTTCTCAACTTTTGGTACCTTACATAACCCCTGCCAATCAACGTGGCAGAAGCGAAACCGGAAATCCCACCATGGCACTTCTGGTATTGCCACTGTGAGCCAAGTCCCACTTTTTTCTTGTGGACCACGGCCCAGGACAAAGCAGCCTGCATGGAGCCTCCCTCCATGTCCCCTGGCACACTGACGTTGGGGAGTAAAAGCCCTGACGCACCAGACGTGGCGAGAGGGGTGGCAGCCAGAACTTGGGGCCAAACAGGCAAAGACACCTCCAACCCGCCAGGCAGGGGATGGGGGAGTAGACCAAGCACAAAATGCAGCACCCACATACCATGGGTTGAGAAACACTGCTTTACCTTATAAGAAGGAATGGAGGATCACTGAGAAATGTGACTGCATCTTGACTTGGTTTAAAAAAGGGGAAATCAGTAAGAAAATTGTAACTGTCTATAAATTCTAGGTTTCATAGATTTCATAGACATTAGGGCTGGAAGGGACCTTGGAAGATCATTGAGTCCAGCCCCCTGCCCGAAGGCAGGAAGTCAGCTGGGGTCATAGGAGCCCAGCAAGATAAGCATCCAATTTGCTCTTGAAGGTGTTCAATGTAGGTGCTTGAACCACCTCCGATGGCAGGCTGTTCCAGACCTTGGGGGCTCGGACAGTAAAGAAATTCTTCCTTATGTCCAGCCTGAAATGATCTTGCAGTAGTTTATAACCGTTCGACCTCATTATCCCTTGGGCCACTCTGGTGAACAAAGAAGTCCTGATCATAGGTGGGCTATAGTCTTGTCTCAAAAGATTGAATGGCACTGGGTTTTTGGTAACCGCCCCCCCCAAATCAACACATGCATACCCACAACTTACCTGAAGGTGTGATATGGACCTCACATGACAATGTCTTTGTAGCA